GGAGAGAAGGAATTTTGTGGATTTTCTGGATACAGTTACAACAGTCTGCAGTAGCAATTTCCCCCAAATGAATGATTGTTTGGTATGTCTTTAATACAGTCCACTAAAGATTTCTGTAATTTCCTAGATTATTGATTATTATTGTAATCTTATTTACCCAACCTTGAAGTTAGTTTGCTGACGTCATTATTTGTCTTCAAGGAAGTAAGCACTGGCTATTGATCTCTACAGCTATTAATTTCTGTTTTCCTTCCTTTTCTTTCAAGTTTTAGATTTGCTTAGTAGTGCTGGCATAAAAATGGAGCAATAATTTAAAGTATTCTACCCTTCCTCTGCTAGAGCACAGAAAAATATTTGACCTGCAGCCCCTCCTCTATTTTCTCATGCAAAGTTAAACAGCTGTAATAAGCTCTAAGAGACTGTGAGATTAGATGCCTGAGAAAGTTCAGTTTTACTTGAGATCCACTGACTTCTGTGAATTGACAAAGGAGTTCAAAAACATCAGCTCAACTTGCTGAATTTGTTTCATGTTTGCCCAGTACCAAGCGTAATGGACCTCTGACCTCTTGGTAATATTTGAGAAGCACCAATATATATTGTTAACTGTTCCGTGTCAGATGTGACATGCAACATTTCAAGAACAGAAAAGTTAACAGTAAAACTTTCTATTCACATTTATTTCCTTATTTGTATTTGAAATATTTCAGACTTGCACAGTTGAATACCACAGAGCCAGAGACAATCCCTGGAAGAAGCTCAGAATGTGTCAATAGGTACAGGACTGTTTCTCCTAAGAATTTCTGGAGAATGCTCACTGAGAAAGCTTGTGGATTCTCAGACATCTTTTTCTATTGCAAATTTTTTCTTGTTGCAGCTTACAACTATTCCTGTTTATTTTATGCTAATAGACATAAGTAATAGTTTATTCTCTATCTGTCCTTTCTTTATGCACTTGAATAGGATCAGGGATAAAGGGCCGTAGTTCCTTAACAGACATGGCTAGCCACATGGGATTGCCATTAAGTCAGCCTCCTGCATCCCCACAAATCTATTTGCAGGTATGGAGTTTTAATGTAGACTTCTTTATTATTTTCTTTTTCATTTCACTCCTGATATTTCCTGTGACATAACACATGGTGGCAACCCTCCTGTAAGGGGAAGGAAGCATTTAAGATGCTCTTCTACATCCTTTCACAAATTTTGGCCTTAGGACCCTGATCACACCTGAACTCGCCTTTTACAAGGGAAGATTCTTTCCAAATATAAATTTTCAGCTGAATAGATAAAAAAATTCCCTGCAGTTACCAACTATCACCATATTTAAGCAAAATAAATGGTCTTGGAGTACAAATGTGTGGTATGTAATGTAATTCTTCCACTGTCCTAGATACTCTCCAGTACCAAGGAGTATTGTTCAGGGCACCACACTTCAAGAAAAATGTAGACACACTGGAGACAATCCAGAAAGGAGTAAAAAGAATGAGCAACACTCTAGAGGCAGCATGAGGGAGGGTGGAAGGAATTGGCACTGTTTAGTCTAGAGAAGGGAAGACTAAGGAAAGATGGGATGTCAGCCCATAACCATGAACATTGTTTCTGCAAAGAAAAAATTATAAACTATAGGTGGAAAAAGAATTAATGAAGAAAATACAGCAGGGGGGATTCAATATCATGGCTAAAGTAACTTCCCTTGAGTAGATTCGTTAAATGCTTAATACAGTTTTCTGGCTATATTTCATTTTTAGTTTAAAAATTAAATGTTGATGTCTGCAAAGATGTGAAGCACAAGGAAATTCTGTATATAAGCACTCACCTGTAGACCCATTCAGAAATCTTAACAGTAAACTCTAGGATGTCTGGAAGATTTTATATTAGACAAATGTCTGCAGTAAGTCATACCCACTTAGGATGACAGAATACTAGTTGCTGAATGCAACCAAGTTGAAGCTGAAAACAATTAGTGTCAAGTCTATAGTAGTAGCACTTTATTTTCATTTGGGGTTTTATTTCATTTTGCAGACTAGCAAGAAAATCTCCTAGGGTTATAATGGTTCAATCCCAATTTTTCATTGAATTTTTTTATTTGTGTGGGCCACGGAACAGAAACATTTATTTTGCTCACAGTCATAGTAGTTAATTTTGTGTAAGATCCTCCTTCTATTCCATGTCTATAATATTTCCAGAAACGAAAAGGGCCTTTAGAGACTTTCAAACCAATTGTTCGTAATCTTCTTATGCTTGATGAGGAAGCTGATTTTCCCTTTTTATATTAATGTTCTTTAATGAATTCTGAATGTTTTGGAGCTGAGTTTTCAGCCCTGTCTTCTTGCTTCATTCTTACTCCTTTCTAGAGATTGAAATAATAAATTCACTGAAAAGCACCCACTGTGGTTATAAACAAGCTCTAAGTAGTCCAGGAGATTATGTCTAGATATGCACATTGAAAATTCATAAAAATTAAAGGATGTCTTATTAGGCGTACATCCTTCTGAACTGAAACTTGTAACTTTACAATTCCTATGTGTAGAGGAGTATTTATATTACTCACAAATACTTTATTTGTGCTTCTAGAGACCTGATAGCTAGGAAGTTGATAGCTACTAGTGATTTGCTAATGCACCCAGTCAGAAAAGATGAACGGTCTGGGCTCCTCTACTCATGGTGATACCAGAAATCATCAGATATGGCAGGTCAAGGAAGTTACTTCATCACAATTGTATTTTACTTACTATGTTATATTCTGCCATACCTTGTTATCTCCGTAAGGATTTGAGTTTCCTGGAGGACTTGCCTGCTTGACAGAGTGTATTAACTGTGTCACATACAACCGTAGTCATTCCAGCTTTTATAGTTTTCCCTATCTCATCTCAAAGCAAAAAACAGCAACAGCACTGTCCTCATTTTTTAAAAACCAGAAACTCCAAAACTGAGGCTGTTCTCCTGTAAACCAGTGACAGAGTCAAAACAGTTCTGCACTGTAACAAGGAGGCAGCATTCCTGAAATCACCTAGAAGCATCTCGAAAATTGTATCAGCAAGGAAACCTGATTATAGGACTATGAATGCAACCTTCTGCAGAGGGTCACGGATGGTCAGAAAGGAATGGAATAAAAAGATAAACCCAAAAACTGCAATCCATAAGGTTGACTATAAACTTACCATTAGTCACCTTTTAGGAGGTCTGGGAGCACCACTGCCTCTCTTGATTTATTTTAGGTTCTGCACCAGAAAATCTAAAATGAGGGGAATGGAATAATAGGGATGTGTAAAAGGAAGCAGGAGGGATGTTCAGCCAATTAAAACTCAGCTCTAATTCTAAGAACAAATGTTCATCTCATTACCCCTCTCTCCTGGCCCCAAAAGTTCTTCTTGCCTGTAACTCTGGGTGATAAAACAATCTTCTTGGAAAGGAGTTGCGTGTCAGCAGGACACCAAAGGTGTTTGTTCTGTACAATACTAAATGAATGGACGACACACAAGAATGCATTAGTCTGGTGAGTTATGTGTCTAATATACATTGTCTGGAGTATAACTTGTAAAGCTGCTTCTGCACTTGAGACATGTACCTAATACTCTCCCAATGTAGCGGTGGTTGAGATCGTCTGAAAATTCCTCAGCTGTGCCTGCAGGAGAAGGAGTGCAAAAGTGTTAAATCTCCCACATTTATATCTGTTCTGAAATTTGGGCACGCTCTAGCGATCAGCATTAATACTTGAGTTGGTTTTGTGGATTTCTCATTTAAATGACACTAAGTTAAGTTTGGAAAACTTCAGTCTCCTATATATGGGATATGGATTTCAGATGTGGATGTGTCTGTATGTTTGTTGGAGATTAAGAGGTTGAAATACGAGTCTACTATAATTCTTAATTACCTGTGGATCTACCTTTAAATATTGCTCATGTATCATTAACTTCTCCAGTGTTGTATTCCTGAACAACTATATGCATATGTAGGTACAAAGAGAAATGGTTTCTATAATGTCATTGAACTCACACATGCTGAAGTTTAAACATCAAGAAAAATACTATAACTTAATTGAAAAGAAAACAAAAATTATTTCTGAACTGATGTAATGCAGCGTATTTTCACGTATGTGATAAACTATTTCAAAGAAATCACTAGCCAGTGAGATCACTCAGTTGGCTCTATTTGTCCTTTTCCAAAAATAAATTTGGTGTTGTGCATTGAGAGGTCTATTCCACTTGTGCTGCAGGAGAACCCATTATTTATCATAGACCTTTTATCAAAAAAACACGTCTTTTTTTTTCAGGAAAGATTAAATATTTGGACTTCAGGACTGTGGGAAACTACACATCAGTTAGAGCCAGTGTATGTTCTTAAATCCAGGCATTGGCCTGTATCCTGGGGAGTTGCAGCACCTGAGGACTTTGAACATCAATCAAACCTACCTTAGCTTTACCCATCAGGCTTGCCCAGAACCTGACTTGACTGGACCAAAGATTCTGGCTCAAAAAGTGCCTTTGGCAGCTTGTGGGAGGCAAAATAATCCCTGAAAAGCACGGTAAGAAAGATAATTGGTGGGGTCTTTTTTGTTTCTCTGCATGTGGCTCAATGAAAGTGAACTCAATTGCTGGAAAATGGTTGGCAGACTTATTTTCAGTGGGAAATGTATCTTATTTTCTTTTTTTTTTTCTCATTAACTATATTTTTTAAACAAAACCTTATAATTTTCAATTGTTCTGTGTTTGAAATTCACAAGAAAATTTACTTTGAACAAGTAGCATTAAAGCTGGACATTTCAAGAATGGAAAGGTGACGTATCTTGGATAACGAGGGAGGTAAATGCTCGAACCGATGCATTCTAGCAATGTTATTTAGCACTCATGACATATGAAGGAGAGATCTAGATAAGGAACTTTTGCCTCAGCTTAACAGACTGTAAATGTCTGTCGTCATTCATCTAGAATGCCAGGGTAGCCTATGTTCCCAACGACTTATTCTGCAAAAGAAGGTACCCTAGGCCATTGTTATGTGGTTACCTTATCCTAGCAGATGTTTTCACTGCTGCCAGAAAAGATTGGCCTTGTCTTTCTTCTCTTCAGTAACCCATTGCCTTTTCCCTGCTGCTTTCTGTGTCTTCCCTCTAATGTGCACACAGCAATCCTTTGAATGAGGCCAAAGAACGTTATTTGTCTGAAAACTAGTATCAAGAAAATAAAAAAAGACAATATTCTTGCAAGAAAGCAGCCCATGAGTACAAAGGTGGTAGTTCTGCCCTTTTATGGAGCACTTCAGTAGATTTGTACTGAACTGAAGTGACCACATAGCCATGCTCTTAGGGATTCAGGGAAAATAGCACCTAGAGCTGACGAGAGACCAGCTAATCAGGAAACAGAGCTATCATAGCTCCCAAATTCTGCATGAAGGTCACTTATCATCTCCTTTTCAGCATTTCACAGTTAAAAGTGGAGATGGATATCTATCACATACGGTACATCAGTATACTCAAAGCCCACAAAAAAAAGATTAGGATATACATCTGCCACTTCTGTTGAAAGAGGTTTTGCCACCATCTCAGAGATGTCCTGGAGTGGATGTAGGAACATCTCAACTTCCGTTGTGGCTGAAGATGCAACAAACCTGCGAGGGAAGGGATTCCAGATTCCTTTGGACAGACCTGGGTATGAGGTGGACCATGATGCTCTTGCCAAAATCTTGTAGACATCAGCAGTGAAATCCAGAGGTGTGTTTGACAATGGCCCCTGTAATAAATATGCACAAGCACAGCCTAATTCTGTTATAATTTAAAGATATGTCTTCGCTGCCTCTTAGTCAATTTAGGCTGAGAAAGCTCATTCCACATCAGTTAGGATTTCTTAAAATTTGTGTCACTTTTTCTGTCGCAGCAATGCACAACTGACATGTATGACTTTATTTACGCTGTGTAACCAAGTTAATGTTCTTATAACTCTGCTGCATATCCCAAGACACCTTTGCAGGAGGGATGATTCATCTCAACAGTCTTAGCTAGTGACACTCTTCAAATAACTTCGTGAAACATATAGTTTAAGACAGAAAACATTTTGAGAGTGGAATAAAGCCAGGAATAGCAGCTGTCAGTAATACAGTATAGTTATAGTGAGATTTGATATTTCATAGAGGCCAAACCAATGCAAACTTTTATTTCCAAAAATCTTTGAGTTTACAGACTATTTAAAAAATACAGGATTACAAAGCATATACTACTTTTAGATTAAAACTGACTTGTCTTTTCTACCATGGCTCAGTGAAAACATTGTGCTCTGTGAGTAGGGCAAAGTTTCCATGTGTAGGGAGGCAGAGACAGCTGCTAGGAGTTATCTGGAAGATTCAGAATAGAAGAAAGTTGGCAGGTAGGAGCTGATGTGTGTGACAGCAGATCAGACGGTATTCTGCTGATTCATTGCTGGGGCTTAGGTAGGTTGAAAGTCAGAGCAGGTGAGACTTGTGTTTACTTCGCTCTACCTACTCCATGTTTTTGTGCCACTCACTCCACTTTGGGGAATCCAGTGCCATCAGGGAGAGATATGTGTTTGAAAGTAATAAGAATATTATAAAGAAATCAACACTCATACCATCTTTCACATTTGAGTAGCCACAAGCTGTTAAGCAGGAAAAAAAATAGAATCCCTCCTTTCCGTTTAGCTCTCTAACCCATCTATTTTTCCATGCCATGTCAGTTATGGTCTCTGGAGCTTGCATGGCAAAACAGAAATGTTAAATGATATATGCCCAGTTCTGGATGACCCCAAGGTCATCCTAACACACGAGGCCAAACTGTACCTTGTTTCACCTCTTAGCTTTCAGATGTGAATGGATCTGGGCAGTAAAAGAACGATAGTCTTCTTCAAGGGCCATGACTGCAAGAGAATGCCAAGACATATTATACCAACAGAACACAGGTGGTAGACCCATCTGATGCAGCTAGCTGTGCTTGAACCATTTCTGCTCTTTGGCACTGCATAATAATGTTGCATGTTGGAAAGTGAATGAAAGATGTCATTAAAACAATAATGGATAGAAAGATTTTTATCAAAACAAGCAATTCAAAAACATAAATAAGTGCAATAAACCCCTGTATTTATTTTCATTCTTCCATTTTTTTGTCCTTATTCCATCTCTTACTTCTGTTTCCTTCTTGCTAGTTTTCACATAGATATAAACATAATACAATGCCTTCAACAGCCATCTTACCATGGAACAATGGTAAGACTTCATTATCATTAACTGAGGTTTTGAAGTAGAGATCAGTTTTCAAAAAGCACCCAACCTTGATTTAAAAATTCCTAAAGATAGAAAATCCACTGTTACTTTTAACAGGTTTCTCTTATGTTCATTACCTTCACCAAACAAAAAAAAATCACTCTGTGTGTAGTTCATTTAGTTCTAATGCCTACCTACTGGACCTTGTGATATGTTTATCTACTGGACTGAAAAACCCATTATCAATGCTTCCTGCATAAACTATTAGGCATTTAAAAAGAGTAGTTTAGCCATCTATTATCCCTGTTCTAGGCAAAGTAGGGGTTTGTTTCCCAACACTTGGATCATTCTCCTGGCAATTCTTTGAACTTTCTCCAAGTTGCAACATCGATCATGAATTGTAATCATTAGATTGAACATAGCAGCAGTCATCCCAGTGCTGGGTGCAGAAGTAAGACTAAATCCTTGTTCACATATCCAAGGATTGTATTAGCCTTTTCAATGACTGGCAACATATCGTGGCTACCATCTCCTGTAACTATAGCTGTAGTCGGACTTTATATGTGGCTTTTCTGTTACAGCTGTATGTGATCACCTTCACATCACCCAGTAGCAATGACCCGACCTTCAGTTTTGATCACTGTGCTTTGAACATCTTGCAGGCTATATCAGTGGTAAATTTATGGTGGGGAAGATTGATTTGGTTTTCTTCTGAATTATTGTTTTATATGCTGTGCTAAAAACAGCACAGGTCTAGAAACGTGGCTGTACAGACATGAGTTAGAAGTACAGTTCCTTGGTGATGATTTTGCAGTTTGCAGTTTTTTTGAGATCTGCTTATGTGCTAGTGCGTTTTTCTAGCTCTAGTCAAAATGCTGTGTAATACCAAGGCATCCAACAGATTAAGTGGAAGTTTATTTTCAATAAGCACAGATTAGCATCAATATTCATTTCCTTTTAAACTCTCAGTTAATCAAGTCCTTAATATGCCTTGACATTACTGATATCAGGCTGGAAGATGTGTATTTACCTTTGCTGACTCATTTACTCTCTCAAAATACTGTCACAATATTAGCTTTCAGTCCTTTCTGAGTTTTCAAGTATCTTAAGTAATATTAATTAATAGCAAGTATCGTAGGTAATATAATGACTTTTTTATGGTCCAGCAATTGTAATTGCCATTTGACTCGTAGAAAGCTGCAGCGTAACTTCGTTGTTCAACTTTACTTTCTTTAACAAGGACATAAAACTTACCTTAATCAAGGATTCACTTATGTGAGTGGCCGAGTGATCCAAGACACTTCCCCAGTTGTAGGGGCTCTGTTGATCTCATGGGGACAGCTGAATCATGGACCTGGAGTTTGTCAGCTTAATTTCAAGCATAAACACTTTCAGCAGCAGCAGCACGGATTTAAACCACACGCTGTTTTGAAACCACACCCATACACTTGCATGGGTATAAAGTCTTTGAAAGCAGACCTATAAAAGGAACGGTGTGAAAGTAAGGTAACCTGTACATCGTGTGTGTGTGTGTGTGTGTGTGTGTGTGAGTGGGTGACGTGTAAAGAAAAATTGATTTTGGTTAACCTCTGTGTTTTCAGCCCACTGACTTTAAGGAGACTTTAGGCATCAGAGAGATACATGCATAGGCAAACACATATGGCAGTAAAACTTAACCCATAACAGTGTCTCTACCTTATGACAAGTAACAAAGAATGAAATTCTTAGAAATAGAGATAAAAGAATGGGGAAAAAAATGTTATGATACATAATGTAGTCAAGGTACTACACAGATACCACACCAAAGACCAGGCAGAGAATTGTGGAGGTCAGGGGATACACTGGAAGAGGTTGACTTTTTGACGGAACTGGTGAAAACCATTTATAAAATCTGCATTCCTCGTTAATTCACTTCCTGTTGCCCTATAAAATGTTAACATTCTGATGCTTCTTGACCATTGTTACTCTGCTTGCAATTCTGTCATTGTGTTTCTTTCTAAATATTTTTAGAAACCAGATAAAGAGGTTCTGTATTTCAGATGAAGAACAGTATGAGGAAGTGGGCAGGGTCTAAAAAGCCCCTTTCTAATATATAAGTAATCTATGGCACAGGGGCATTAGCATTCTGTTTTAAAGAGTCTGTCAGTTTGCTGTAGGGGGGCTGGACATGACAGTAGAAGTTGAGTTTGTGGTGTCACCTGTTTTAAAGAGTCTGTCAGTTTGCTGTAGGGGGGCTGGACATGACAGTAGAAGTTGAGTTTGTGGTGTCACATATGTTTTCTCTGCCCCTCCTGCTGTACTCATACACACAAAGAGTATTTGAGTGGCAAACCTTGATTAGGGCTCTGTTGCAAATGAAAAACATGATATAGCTGCACATGGTAGCATCAGAGAAACAGAAAACATAACAAAGGGGCAGGAAGGGAGAAGCGATGGGCTAAAGCAGGTAAGTCCCTCTGTCCCCAACACCAAAGTCTCAGAATGGTGGGTTTTGATTGATGCCTGTCAGTATTCAAGAAGCTTTTCTGGAACAAGTCCTCCATTGTGCTACAATGATCTATTGAGCTTATCTTGAGGAATGTCATGTCCCCTTTTCAGCCTTTCCTTCTTGAGGCTAAACCACCTCAGTTCTTGCAACTTTTGTGAGAGGACATAGTCGAAATTTCTCTTCATTGTCATTAATCTTTGAATTCTCAGGTAGTTCATATTCTCCTTGCTGTGCAGTGTCTGAACTACACACAGTATTTCAGCTGAAGCCCTGCCCCTGTTGAGTACAGCACAGAAGGCTTATTTCATGTATCTTGCAGGCTCTGCTTGTTTAGAAAACCCAGTGTGGTGTTTGATTTTTTCACAATAGTGTGATAATGTTGACTCCTGCTTAGCTTGGGATTCAGTATACTCCATGGCCTCTTTTAAGAAGAAATGCCACCACCCACTTGTTTTCCAACCTGTATTTGTGCAGCTGATCATTCCTGTCCAAATGTATCATTTTTTGTTTATCCCTCTTGAATAGTGCCCTCTTCATTCTTCCTGTAAGATCTTTGCCAACATTTTTGTGTTTCTTGTTGCAAAACCTACAAGATACACAGGATAAGCGATTATATGGATTTTTTTTTTTGCCTTTGGATTCATGTCTTTATTTGTTTAG